GCGGTGCACTGTATAGTGCCTTTTAGGGAGTTTGAAGTGGTTTATAGTTGTCATTGTAAAATATACCAATATGAGGGGCCATCAAGGGGCCACTTTTTCCTCGGGGGCTCCAAACATCTGCCTGGTTTGCCTCTCACCTATGGTTGAAATCACAAGTGACTAGCACGCAGGTGTAGACACCTGTAAAACATGACAGAAATGTGTTGGGCGTGGACAGGCTGTTTGACTTGCTGACTGCCGAACCTGCTCAGTGAGACCACCCGCAGCAGCACTAATCTTGCTTCTGTAGCATAGCAGTGGCCTGTAGATGTGTCTCATGTATTCACAGACAGGACGTAAAAGCTGTGCTTTGACATGTAAAGGATGATAGATCTTTAAATAAATGCCCTTTTCAAAACCTTTCATTATTTTGTCACTTTTTTGGGATCAGCAGATCTAAACGATATGCTTTTAATATGCTTTCTAACAATAGATAATTGTATATCAGTTTGATTTTTGTCATGGCCTGAAACAGTTTGTTGAAAAGAGAACCTATCTATCCTCTCCGTGTGAACAACCTCACACACAGCACTTGGATTTGAGCTCGTTGTCTCTCAGAGTTTTGTGACTTGGGGGGAAAATAGTATTTTGACCTAGGGGTGGGCAATCTGGCCAAAAGATCATATGACACTCTTTTTGGATAGAATCTCAATTGACGATCTCAACCACTATCTGAATCCCATTTCTACTGTGATTTTAATCTGAAAGTCCTGACTGGAAGTTGTGATTCGTATCTTTCTGCCACTTTAACGTGTCTTTCAGATGTTTGTTCGCTCGCCACTTTTCTTCGCCCTCAATGCTGTTTTCTGTTTACGAGTTTTGTCACAACCAATCTCACTTTTTGCTTAGTTCATATGGAGTATTCGTTTGGACAGCGCTCTTATTCATTCATGAGGTGATATATGGAGAACAGGTACATGTGGAGCTTCACCAAGTTCTTCGAGGCTGCAGAGCAGAACAGTGACTGCTGTCTCCAGCTGCTAACATGGTCTGGTCAGCTGCGACTGAACTTTTAAAATTAAATATCTAAATATAGAATGTTTTAATGACGCAATCTGTATGATTAATCTGAAAGTAGATCATATACCAAAGTAAGATCGTCCACGATGTAAGATCATCAGATCGCCCACCCCTACTTTAACCATGGCCAGGTCAGACAGGAACTCCTTTTGTATTTTGTGGTATTTTCCACAAAGTGATCCCTCTGCTCTTTGGGTTCTGCAGGGTTGGTACTGTTGAGTTTAGGGGACTCAGAAGACCAGCACCATGATTCTTCTCTACCATCACCTCTGGAAATTTAGTGCATGTTGAATGGGAGAGTTTCATGAGAGAGGAAGGGAGTGAGGATGAGAGGTTGTATTCAGACCATTGTTAGAATGATTCAGTTCAGTTTTATAGTATCACAAATGACTCGTGTACATCTTCTCCAAGCTTGAATTCTCAACTGAAGTATTGGTACGTGAAGAATCCATGCAACACCTTTACAGTTCTTAAGGTTTTCTGAAGTTTCGTCACCTGGTTCCTGGAATCTGGAGTCTCTGTTACTTGTTTGGGAACAGTCCTGAACACTCCTTCCATCACCATTCCTTGTATTTGTCAAACCACTCATACATATCTTGTTGATGGTGATATCACTCGTTATTGTGCGAGCATTCTCAACCTCTCCTTCCACTCTTGTGCCTGGAGGGGATAACTTTGACTTTATTATCTTTGTGGTGACCAGGCCTTATCCTGCCCCTGGTAGTCAGCCACTTCTTCTATCTGCCAGTGGAATATTCTAGACCCATCACTCCTTTGTTCTTCTTTAGTCCCTACCTGCTGCACTGATAACACTCCTCTCTCTGCGGTTGCACAGTCTCTGGGGTCTGGACTTGAGGTGCAATCCTTTCTTCTTGATTTGTTGGGAGTTTTTAGGTCCAGTGGCGATCCTAGACTTTGAGGGGCCCCAGGCAAAGAGGCCCATCGAAACCCATCAAACAACCCCCGCCTCCCTATTGGCAGAGACTACAATTTACAGACATTCCTTGAATGCCTCAAATGCCAACAATGGGTCGACACCAGCTACAGCACCATCATCAGGGGCCCCACTTAGGGGGGTTTGGGGCAGCAGCAGTGCACTGTATAGAGTCTTTATGGGAGGTTTAAGGGGGTTTATAGTTGTCATTGCAAAAAGTACTAATATAAGGGGCCATTGGGGGTCCATTTGCCCTTTGGTGCCCCAAACATTTGCCTGGTTTGCCTCTCCTGACAGTGCACCTCTGTTCGTGTCTTGATGTTAGCAGTGGCCATGTTGCACCTTAGCCACCTTACTGTACAAATGGACATGTGATGACTGGTCTTTCTTCTATCTTCTTCCATGACTTGGATGAAGCGGCACTTCAGTTCAGTCCTGTTCTTTCTTGTGTCTTTGTTGCTTCACAGCTCCATGTGATTGTGAAACCCTTCAGAATAAAGCTGCCCTCTTTGTCTGTGTGGCCATCTGTTAGTTCAGCCCCTTCAGTTCCATTAATCCTCACTCTTTACAGCCATCCGTCCTCAATGGGGCAGATGTGGTCCACACAGAGGGGGACCACATGGTAAGGCTGAAGCGCATGCAGAACAGCCACACTTGATGGTCTCTTAGGAGGCTGACTGTTGTTCTTCAGTTGCCTTGATGCCTCATAGAGCATAAATCAAGACTCTTTTTGTTGAATTGTTTCCCTGGTACCAAAATGTCTGTGTCGAGGAGGTGACCATGGTCACGTTCTATGGTGGGTCCTATATATGTGATGGTTCTGGTATTGAGATTCAGACAAGACCATGTCCTCTAGAGTGCCAGGTATTCAGGGATGGATTTCTGTTGTGTTGACCTCATGTTGTCAGTCCTTGCAGTACTCAGATTTGTGTACTTGTTCTTACAGCCCTAAGTGACTGTTGTGTTAGTTGTTATCTGGTGCTTCGGTCATTTCCTTCATGTACTGACACATACTGTTTGTTCAGCCTGGTGGCTGTGGAACTTTCAATTGTATTGCTTCAGTAGCCATGAGAAGTCAGACTCTGTTGGTCTCCTGGTTATCATACTTTTATTGACAAGTATTGACCACATAGTGCCACCCATAGTTGGGGCCGGGTATTGTTTGAATTTGTCATCAGTGTATTACTGCAGACCTTTGGCTGTAGGCCTGCCTGGGACAGGGTCCAGTTGAGGTGAATATCTTATGTTATTCCCTCCTGGAGAAGAAGCTCCTGGACATTAGCTGTAGATGGAGTTGATGTTTGACGATGGACAAGGACTGTAAGAAAAAGCGGGAAAACAGGGAACATTTGCAAAGAGAAATATCTGATCAGTAGGTGCAACTAGACAGCTTTTGAAACTATGAACACAATTCAAAAACTATTAATATTCAATACCTGGCCCTAGCCATATGTTACTCTATGTTATCATATACTTATATTTTGTTATATTTTATCATATTGTATCACTCCTGTTTTGTATGGATTCATATGTTGCATGATTTCTTTTTGCACACGCTTGTTTTATTGTGTTTGATCACGCCACACTGCACCATGTGTTTATGTATTTGAACCTAATTAAATGCAAAATTCTTAAGAGCCTCTTGTTTTTGTTTTCCTGAGACTAGGAACACCTGGCACCTGTTCGCTCTAATGATACTGGCAAAAATTATGTTACCAGTACATGATACTATTGCCAGAACAATCCAATGACCCCATCTGAGTACAGTAGCAGTAATCTGGGCAACATGGCAACTCATAACCTTGTGATGAAACAGTTCTGTTCCTATATTTCTCCATTACATCTTGTGTATTTAATTCTGTGGAGTCTTAGCTAAGCTATGGACAAATACCCATGCTTGTAATGGAGTGGGTATCAGGGAGTATTAGTGTACAGATTAGGGGGGGGTGAGGGTATGGATTTACAGGATTTATGGGAAAAGACATAGTGATCAAAAAAGGTTCCAGTCTTCACTTCCTGTGTCTGTTGTCATCTTTCTGTCTGTTTCTTTTTCTTCAACCTGTGTTATTGTTTTTGGCTCCTCTGGTCCATTCATCCACCTTTCCAAGTATCTACTTCATCTACCTGGCACTTATCTGTCCCAGCAGTCATGTGTTTGGTTCCCCTTTTGTCAGTGCTTTGGGACTATGTTTCAGAGTGTGTTAGTCAGTAGTTGTGGTAGTTCAGAGGGAGATGATGTCATAGATCGTGTGGTGCTGTTCCAAGTAAATGTTGACTATTACAAAGCTTACTGATGGGTTCATGCTGAAGCTCCTAGATTCAATGTCATTAGTCTGTTATTTGTCATTTGTGAAATGATTTTCTAAATTTACGTTGGACGTCAAAAACAGATTCCTCCCAAACTCTCACCCAAGTCTCAGTCCTGACTTCTCAGTGTCTTCCATCCCTCAGCCTCTAATACAGAGCAGGTAGTGTAGGCTGCTGTGATGAGTGTGTTGTTGCTGCTGATGTTGTGACTGACAATTGGTAGGGATGTACTTTGTGTTTTTTCCTTTATGCCTAGAGCCACTAATACGATTATTCTTTATATCATTATCTCACTTTAATTGGCAGAGGAATGTTTGACTGTGATATATTTGATGAAGATGTTCATCTTGTGTGGAGTGGACAGAGTTGTTTTTTTGTTGTTGGAGTGATTACATCATGAACAACATCAGATACAAACAGCTGTTATCCAAGAAGACATATCTCTGAAGCTTGTTGTTGCCTCCAATCAAAAGATGGACATTCTGTTTTTCTACACCACCCAGAACCTGTCAGGATCTCCCAGGTTAGGACGGCTCCTGAGTTCTCCTAAGTCCTGATTTAAGAAAGTGCTTTTATACTGGGACCAGTCAGGTGTCACTTTCTACTGGTCATCTTTGACTGGTTGAGAATGACATCCTGCTCTGAAACACTTGATAAATACCATCCACAATAACCTCTCCTCCACTTTGTATCTCATCAGTTGTGTCGAGATGAAGATTGACACCAGCCTGACTATGCCCCAGCTCCCAGAGTCCCTGTCCCAGGCAGGCCTACAGTTCGCTGTGGCCACTGAGGAGGACTTCGACGAGATCATGGCTATGAGCCAGGACATCTATGGAGGCCTTGACTACTTGCCCACTAGGTACACCAACTGGCTGCAGGAGACCAACCGCACAGTCATACTGGCCCGCAAACAGGGAAAAGTGGTAAGTCCAATGAACAGTATGAAAATCCTGATCTTTATATATGAGCTGAATGGAAGCCACCGCCACACACTGATGTAAACAAACCAGTATGCATGATCAGGGGAGATAAAACTCTTTTTACCTATTTTAATTTTGAATTTAATTGTTTAATTTAAAATTGTAATCCCTCACACTACTCATGGAGCCTTTAAGTCAACTGGTAATTTTTATGAAGTTAACTACTACAGCGATTTAACGAACCTACTTTCTGTGTTTGAGTTTGAAGTGTTCAGATGAAATTTGTTTTTTTTAAGTTTTTTGGAAAGCTGTATGAGGCGTGCAGTGGCAGCAGGTTTGGCCCAGGTGTCCTCTACAGCCATGTCCTCCAGCTCCTCCTGTGGTATCCCAAGGTACAGCGCATTCAGGAAGTATTCAGACTTTTACTTTCTGGCTGGACAGCAATAACGGGACCAGCCCTATAAACATGAGATGTCACTGAGTGACTGAGTGATAAGATTACACCATTGGTTGGCCAGTCGACAGTTGGCGATTCCTCATTGACTGACCCTTTGCTTTGACTGTGCAAATTTAGCTCAGGTTCCTCCGTTTCTCTGCATCATCTCTGAGATGCTTATACACTTTGACTGGAGTCCACCTGTGGTAAACTCGGCTTTCAGACATGATGTGTAAAGACACACACCTGTCTATATCAGGTCTCACAGCTGACAATGAAGATCAGAGCAGAAACCATGAGGAAGAAGGAACTGCTGAAGAGCTCAGAGACAGGATTGTGTCGAGGATCAAAAGCATTTCTCCTTTATTGAAGAACAGTGGTCTGGAACCACGAGGACTCTTCTAGAGCTGGACCTGGACTAACTGAGACATCAGGGGGGAGGTTTGTGGTAAGAGAGGAGACCAAGAACCTGATGGTCACTCTGAGCTCCAGAGATCCTGTGTGGAGATGGAGAAACTTCCAGAAGAACAACCATCACTGCAGCTCTCCACTGATCTGGGTTTTATCTCAGAGTCCAGACGAAGCCTCTCCTCAGGGTCAGTTTGTATAAAAGCAGCTAAAGCACTCTGAGACTGAGAGAAACCAGACTCTCTGGTCTGATGAGACCAGGACTGAACTGTTTGGTCTCAGTTCTAAGAGTCATGTCACTGCTCATCATGTGAACAACGCCATCCCAACAGTGCAGCATCAGGCAATGGGGGGGACAAGGAGACTGGTTGGGCTGAGGGAAAGCTGAACGGAGTAAAGTACAGAGAGATCTTTAATGAAAACCTGGTCCAGAGCTCAGGACCTCAGACTGGGCTGAAGGTTCACACAGCCAAGACAACACAGGAGAGGCTTAGAAAGGACTCTGTGAATGTCCCTGAGTAGACAAGCCAGAGTCCTGAGCCTGAACCAAATCCAACATTTCTGGACCCGAACATGTCTGTCCACTGACGTCCCCATCCAACCTGACAGAGTCTGAGAGGATCTGCAGAGAAGATCCAGAGTCCAAAGGTTGTCACAGCATACCCTAAGACTGGGGGCTGTATTCACTGCCAGAGGTCTTTCAAGTAAATACTGAGTTAAAGGTCTGAATTCTTGTGTGATATTTCAGGTTTTTTAAAAAAGTGGCTAGACGGATAGATGTAGGAGGCTCATGCTCAATGTTCCAACTGATGTGTCCTTGTTTTCCAAATCTCCCAAACAGCAGAGAGAAATTGTTTTTCTTTTTTCTTTTTTGGTCATGTTGCTCTGCTTGAGCTATAGGAATGGTGTAAAGTTCTAAAAAGGACAATGTCAGTGTGATCGTTTGTCATTTTTTGTCTTCCTTCTTCTTCTGTGATGATTGACAGATTGCTCTGGAGTCAGTGTGTGTGATTGATGGTGGGGAGACCATGCTGGTGGAAGGTCTCCGCGTTGCCCCTCAAGAAAGGGGCAAAGGTGTGGCAGGAGTTCTGCTGCGATTTTGCTCCGAACTGGTGAAATCCAAGTTCCCAGAGGTTAAAGTAACCCGCCTGACCCGTGATGATCAGCTTGGACCCAAGGACTTCCAGAAGTACCGCATTATAACCAAGCAGGTAAAAAAAAAAATAACAATAAAACCTCTGTCTTTGTCTTGAGCTGTGCTTGTTGGTAATGACCAACATGCTTCATTCAAATTTCTGTTATGATGCTTTTAGTCAGTGTGTTTACTCTTGTAGTTCTTTGTCAGTTCACATGTTGGCTTTCTTTGACAGGGTATTCTGCTGGTGCGCTTCAGAGCTGAAGATCTCAAGCTCCGTCTGTCTGAGCTTGGTCTGGGTGGAGACATCCAATCCTCTGTGTCCACCCCTTCCTCTAACTCTACTCCTGTGCGTCTCGACCATACAGCTATCCACCGGCTGTATCTGACCACTGATCTGATGCAGGGGGTCCTTCCTAATTCTACCATCATTCAAGACTGGCAGCCATTCAAGCCGTTGCCCAGTAACATGGCCATCCTGCTGAAGAAGGACATTGACTGGATGGTGGATGATGGGTCCAACCCTACCGTGGCCAGCCTCTGTACCTTCCCTTTCAGGGTGCCCATTGGAGATGACTGGTAAGTGTCCCTTCTTTACTTACTCATAATGCCAAGCAGATGTTTCTAGTTAAGTCAGGCACACTTACTGTCCAGAAGCAAGTGTACAACAGTATAGTGGCATGCACTGCTGTCTACCATAGTATCTTTTCATTCTTTTAACTCAGTCATCTGACACACTGTTTTTGAACCAGGTATTACCTGAATATTGACATGTTCGGTAAAGAGCTTGACCTGGTTCGGCAGCAGTTCTTGTGCCACCTGCAGCGCCACACCGCCACCCTGAAGGGTCATGTGATGTGCCAGATGTTCCTGGACCCACCGCTCTGGAAGCCCATGGTCGAATTCTGCCGCAACACCTTGAGCGTGGAGCTGGTGAAGGAGTACACCGAGCAGTGCGTGGTCGAGTCAGACGTCGCCTAGTTACAGAAGGTGGATGGAGGGGAATGGAAGATGAAGAAACCAGAAAGGAAGAAAGACAAGGGTCTAGACAACAATGAATGGACACAACTCAATTACACTTAACAGAAAAACACAACCCTCTGTACTGAGACAGAAACCAAGCAAACAAAATGTCGTTTCTACAAAACAAAACTTCTAAGAAAGCAGTGCGTTCGAATAACAAATACACAGCACGGACATAAAATCACAAACACATCATGTAATCAGCTACAACAGGTCTAAATTCAATGTGTTGATACAACCATTAATTCATTTAAGTACCATTTTTAAGGCTGTAGTTTTGTAGTTACTAATATTTTGTGCCCCCACTATATACAAAGATAGGGGACTTAATAGTATAAAACAAGTTTTGGTTGAGGTTTTCATGGGTCAAAAATTTTGGACTGGATCCAAATTGAACCCATGGGAAATATACTTAAACCCAATGTTGACAATTGGATTGTGAAAAAAATTGGCCTTATCTGGAAGGAGCCTAAAGGCAGTCAAACCCAGCTGAATAGATGCCCAGGGCACTGGGTTAACTTGTCACAGTGGTCTGCAACAGGTGGACAGTGCAAATTGCAGTTGCTGTCCAATACAACAACGCTACAAACTATAGCCTCAAAAATGACCACTGAGTTGAATCATCATCTTATTAGCTTAGCGTGAATTTGAAGTTGATTGCAGGTGTTTTTGATTTTATGTTCACCCCCATGTCTCATGACATGGAAAGGTGTGACTAGAGTGATGAGCCTGGGGAAGCTTTCTCACACGGTAGCAGTACTGAAACATAAAACCCTAAAACAGTCAACATGCAAATGATATTCTCTGAGGGAAATAATGAAGTACCCTCAGGGCATCTCAAATCTTTCATCTCAGTTCTTTCTGTAAATATGAAACTTCTAAATATGTACACAAGCTGAGTTGGATTACTAAAATCTGCACAACTCTGAGGGCACTTTATTAAAACTACACAGACAGGTTGTGTCGAAGTTAGAATGAAAAGGAATAGTTCAGGATCAAATAGGGGTAATTTACAGATGCCATCACTCTAACGCTGATGGGTGCATCTGTTAACTAGCATGACTTTAGAACAGCAACAACAAATCTCTGCAGAAACAACAAACAAAGCCTGTTAGTGACATGAACATGCTCAGTCTTTTCAATTTACCCTTCGTTATGGTTATGTCTTAGCTTTTGTCTTTTTTGTTTATTATCATTATTATTATTATTAAGTTACTAATTTAATGTTTTACTTAAATGCTGCAATAAAATGTTAACAGAGATGATTAACTTCTGAAGCTGTAAGGTATAATCTAGGCTTACTTGTGTAAATTGCTAGCATAAAGCCAAACAAGAAGCTAATGCTTGAAAATGTTTAACAGACTACTGCAGTTTACTAACAGCTTCAGCTAACGCAGGGAGAAGGAGTAGAACGAAAATAACTGTGTTAGAATTAACAGAAATATAATGTTATATATTTAACCATCACTAATATTAGCTGGCTAAATAATAGTGTTCCCTCTGTGACTATACAAGAGCAGTGTTAAGAGAAGGTTCAGCCATGTTAGAGCAAACTAATCTCTAGTTTATAGTCTAGAAGAAGATTGTTCATTATACCATGGCCATAGACTCATTCTGCACACCTTGCAAATCATGACACCTGAGAGAGTTTAACCTGTGAGGTGCTGATGCACCATGAGCCTCCAGAGCAGCTTCAGGGCTCCTTATCATGGAGCAACGAGCAGTGCTGGAGGGATAAACAATATCTGGTGTTTTGCTAATGATGGTGGTTGAGAGCGCTGTCTAAGACACTGCTCCAAAATCTCCCATTTCAGTTGAGTTGAGATCTGGAGACTGTGAAGGTCGTAGCAGGTGATTCACATCACTTTCATACCCATCAAACAGTTCAGTGAGCCGTGGTGCTCTGTATTGTTAACTTTAATTTTTCCTTTAGTTTGTTAATTGTCTGGAGATGAAAATGGAAGCAACCATTTTAACAGTAATCATGGTTTTAGGGATGGCAGTGTTGGTGCTCCATTTTTGTCCAGACTGAAATATGGTGAAATCTATTAGCTGTATCGTCATGACATTTCATGCAGACATTCAAGGTACCCAGAGGATGAATCCTAGTGACTCTGGTAATCCCCTGACTTTTCATAGCGCAACCAGTAGTTTTAAGATTTCTGTTTAACAGCGATTTGCCCAGAATTAAGAACAGACACATTCATGTTCCCCTCAGGATATACTGAGATAACACTGGTGATCCTCTGACTTTTCATCCAGTGCCATCGTCAGGTCAATGTTTCAGTTTGTCTAACACTTTGGTTTATGACCAAATACCTGCAAAACTAATGACATTCCCATTTTTAGTGCTGATTAGCAAATGTTGATTAGCATTTAGCTCAAAGCACTGTGCCTAAGTGCAGCCTGGCGAAGCTGCTAGCACTGCTGTAGACTTGTTTCTTTGGTAAGTGGCCATGGTATAAGCACAATACCAGACACTGATGTCTCCATATTCACAATCATGAACTCCTACGTCTACCTGTAGTCCATTATCGCCTACGTATTCAGCCTCTAATAGAGGCATCAGAGCAGATCTAAAAATGTTTCTAAATCTTCTCTAATGATTAATTAACGCTGTGACATCAAAATGACATCATAGGAGCATCCACAGCACTGCACACACACTCTCCCTTTAAATGTCCATATAGAGTGTGTACCACGGGACCATTAGTCAGAACCAAACATGAATATTTTATTGAAAAAACACCTCAGTTTGTAGAGAACTATTTGACCTTCCCACTGCCTTGACCAGCTTTTATCCTGACCTGACCACCTTCTTCTTCTGGTATGCAATTTTCTAGGAGTGAGGATGACTGGGCCTATTTTCTTTGAAGAAAGATCAATTATGAGTCAGTCTTTAAAAGTTTTACACAAGGGAAATAAATTATTAAACCGACATCTTTCTTTTAATGATTAATTTTTTGTCTGGCCACAATCCTCGACTTATTCCAGGGAGTGTAACTAAAGAGGAGGCCATTGTTACCCTATTGTTTCTAACCAAAGAAAGTCACCACTCATCTAAAGTGATGCCCTATTACTTGCTGCCTAGAGTGAAGGTGAAAATATGCAAGGTTGGAGAGGCCATGGGTGCAATTATTTATACGAGCTGTTTTCACTTGATCATTATTTTCTTATCTTGGCAGAGCATAACCCAAACTGTGTTCTCATGATCCTGACATGGTCCTCGATATCAAAGAGGATCTGACCCCCCCCACTGCCCACCTCGATCCTCCCACTTACCATGCATTGTGCATGGTATTCCTATGCTGGAGTAAGACATGGCCATTGCAATTAAACTATATATTGGGAACCCACTTCAAGACAGGAACTCGGGATTCAGTAATGAAGCAGGGCCCACCGTTGTCAGTTGATGCATAGCTCACAGTCTGGTAATCCCAAAAAGTCGTAATTACTCAACACAAACCACTCACCACACACTGGGACTTTTGGAAGTCCATCAGGGTGTAAGAGATACCATAGGTCTATTGTAGTAGGCAAAAGTTGGTTTACTGTATAGTGACTTTGTGTCAGCTGGTCATAGATCATTCCCATCTTATCCTGGTCCTGGTCGCAGTGGCAGCTGGCTACGTAAGGTAGCCCAAATTTAATTACAATTAGCCGATCCTAGATCTTCCTGACAGTCCCTGGATTAATGGGGTGTGTAATCTCGTCAGCATGTTCTGGGCCTGCCATTCAGTATCCTCCCAGTTGGACATGCCTAGAAACCCTTTAAAGGGAGACATCCAGAAGGCACCCTGAACTGATGCCCCAACCATGTATCTGCAATCTTGTTCTTTTGATTCATGGATTGTATATTAACTGGTAAATCCAGTGCTAAGATCCCTCTTCACCACAACAGTTTGGTGCAGCACCTGCATGACTGCTGACGTTGCACCAACCCACCTGCTGATCTCGCTTTCTGTCGTACCCTCAGTTGTAGGCAGCACCCCAAGATACTCTGGGATGTTGGCAGCTACTCACTCCCAATGCTGAGATATGAATCCACCATTTTCCACAAGAGCACCATGGACTTTGTCCATTTTTGACTAATGATCATGAGAAGTCAGTTTGGTTTGTGTTAAGTTTGTGATCACAAGAAAACAAAGCTTGTTAATTTCAAAACTACGAGATAACTTAAACACAACGACAACAACCATCTTATAACCTCTGTGTGAAGATGATGTCTAGGAAGATGAAGATTTTAAAAGCCTTTGTCCAGTGATGAAGAAGTGTACATATGTAGCCCCTCCCCACCCCAAAACACACACGCTACCATTTAGTATAGTCAACTCTAACTAGCTGGGTAATCTTTGAAACATACTTTGTACAATTAGCTTGAGATTTTCCTCACAATCAAATACACCCTCTGTTAAGTTTAACCCTAACCTAACATAGCAAGTAGGGAATCCTTCACAAGGTCATGTTAAATATACTCATTAACTTATTTTTTGTTGTCTTGTCATAATAACATGTGATCCATGTAAATATTGTACATTGTGCTGAACAGCTACTGGAGCTTGTGTGATGCCAGAATGAAGACTTAATGTTAACACTTGAATGGCCTAAAACCTGATGAGAGCTTCACTCTGAGGAAACAAACAGAGGCCAGTTGTATATCTCACAAAACCTGTCAACCTTTCATTGATCGTCTTACTTTTTTTAAAATAAAACTTTCTACTTGCGATGTTCACTCATGTGCTCTGGTGCAGCGTTTCCACATGGTCCCGGTCTTCTCAGCCTCACAGCAGGCAAAAGAAATTAGATGTGTTATTTGTCCACTAACCTCAGGTCTTAAGATTTCTGGCCACTTTCTTTTTAAACGCGTTTTCTTCCCATCCTCCAATCAAATTAGGTTTGTCATCCATCTGGAGGCCTCAGTATGCTTTAAATGAAGTAGGCTATGTATGTACAACAGTTTGTCCAACAACATCTAGAAATAA